AAAATGTCAGATAAGAAATAAACCTCTCCCGTTAAACGCCCTCTCCCCTTCTGACTATTAATAGTTAATTATTGTCTTTTTGCTGAACGTTCACCGATGGCTTATAGAGCTAGCTCGTCCCGCTGTCTCTTGGGGCTCCCCCTCGATCTCCCCAGCAGCCACAAAGCGCCTACTAGAGTAGACCGATGGACCTTGTCGGCCAAGGCAAGGGAGATAGGCGTGGTTATGGTTTTACAATTAGTAGTGTCGACAAACAAAAGGTTCCCCCAAATCAGACGTCAAAGACGACGGTGTTGGTGGACAAACGTTTACTGTCGGAACATAGACAGTACAGAGGCTGTGTTGTGCGCCAATCGCCAATGCGTGTGCTCTGCAGATGTGTTTGCGAAGTTGTGTGTTCGGTACATTCAAGCCTTGACCGCCGGGCCGTGCAGGAGTACTCAATCTTCTGCCGCCAATCAAACGAGACGGAATTATCGATTACCTAGAAACGTATGCGCGCATGGCGGGCGGGTCGATAACTCGCGAAGTAGATGAATAAGCATGGGTGTGAGCCCTGGCAGAGCAAAAGCAGAGTCAGCGCGGCAGGTTTCAACAATGGCTCATTAGCCATTATTAGACAGCCACACCGGGACCCCATATGGTTCACCATCCGAGGCCTAAAACCACACATTTTTGAATTCCAACACTCTTACCATCGAGTCTCGGGTGGTGCACAACTTGCAATCGGGTGACGCTTATTTGGAGAGAATTGCCCATTCAAGTCTCCCTTTCCCTTACTGACAATATGCATTCAAATATTGCATACTATTCGATTCTGGAGGTTACTCTATTTGGATCACTACTCGTGATTTTGTACGCCATATCCACATCGAAGTAACGATTGATCAGTAAATCTGCAAAAAGCATCGCCTCGAGTAGTTCTTAGCATCAAAACACATGTATTTAGCATCGAAGGTACGCATTGTTGCCTCAACTGTAGGGTCTCGTCTTTCTTCCTTTAGTTGTCATCCAGTTATGCCTGTCAACCACATGCTGGCCATGTGAGGTAGTCGTTCATTTGCGTATAACTGTGCGTTTGCTGTTTTCTCAGCGGACTCAGGCATATTGTGAGTATGTCGCAGTGTTAAATAGGCTTCCGGCCTTATAGCTTTAATCGGCACGTATTATTTTTAACAACCGATCCATGTAATACCCGGAAACGAGTTTCAGGAAATTCTTTAACCACGTGAGATTACACATTTCTCTCTATATGTTCTTGTCAGGATATTGGCCTTTTAATTAGCCGTTTACATTTTAAGTACGACTCTCTACGCAGAAAATAGGTTGCTTGTTTCCACAATGCGACGCGGCTTTACAAAAAGAGCTTTGCTAACAAGAGCTTAGTTCAACTATCCGTTAGTATATTTTTCTACAAGCGGACATCTATAATTCATAATTTTTTGACTGCGTTTATTCCGATGATGGACTCAACACCTTGAAATATACATGCGATGCTGTTGCGGAGTGTTCTCCTTTCAACTCTAAGAAGCAAAGTAAAGCAACATATATAGGTTTAAAAAGGAATCACATGCCAAAAAAGCTCAAGGAAATAACCGTGCATTTAATTCCTGCCACTCGGTCCAGGGATAGACTTCGAAAGTACGCGAAGCACAAGGGCTTTCTATAAATATTTCTGGTAAAAATATAGTTAGTC